TTAGATTATTCGGTATAGATTCCGAGATGGTTTGAATATTTAATATTCAATTGAACAATCGTGTTAACTATGTGATACCTCTTGTAAGTTGAACGCTAAATTCAGATCCTAAGCTAGTTCCGTAACCCCAGACTAGAACTATTCACCGACTTGAACACCAGAGGGAAGACTCGAGTATGAGAGAAACACTTTACTGCAAGGTTCAATCTTGTTACAGAAAATCATAGGTATTTATAGATGTCAGCGTATGTTAAATCAACATCCTATTTCAGCCAATCCATTAACGACATATTATGATACCGACCAATAGTATCACGCCACGTTGGAACTCTAGAATGTTCCATTGTACTCTGATTGGCTGGGGCTCTTTATGGGCCTCTGGAGGCTCTGTTGGAGTTCTCTGGAAGCCGACTCAACACTATGACAGTTAGATGTACACAGATGTAGCACAGTTAACTCTATATTTGTGTTTTGTTAGGGTGTATATTGTACACAATACAATATCTCTACATAATTCCATAGTAAATAATGAGAACATTAGAACGAGTAAGCTAGACAAATGTGGTCACCCGAATCTCAAATTTAATTGGATGCTTATTAAATTTACCTTATATTTTAATTACAAACAATTCCTTTCTCCATTTTATAAAACTATAGAAATCCCAAACGTCTCGTGACCTCTGAATAATCTTGGCTTACATCCTGAGGTGTTATAATTCTTCCTTCAACTCCTAGGGTAGAGTTTAAGTGGTTTAGTATGTTTAATCTGGTTGGCGTTTCTAAGCAAACTTTTTTCTACGGTATGGGGTTGCTGACCTTCCCCAAACCTTCGATTTTCAAATGTTCACGTGATTTATCTGTGAGTATGAGTTCTAACTGTAGTGTTTGACAGTGAAATTTTTTTATTTGTAATAGCATGAACGTATTCCGAAACATTTGTGTATGTAGAGCGAATGCTACTTATTTGGAAATTGTAAATTGGATTTTGATTATTTTTTGGTTACCGTGATAGGGAACGTTAGATTTAATCATTACTACTAAGGTGTTGGATTCCATAAAATGCAGTTTTGTAGTTTATGAAAGTTCCATTCTGCTGACTAGATAAGTAGCCCTGATTACGTGTATATAAAATGATGAATAGAAATAAACAAAATATCTAGACTGAGATAAAGATGTACAACCTAAAATCCATAGATAATGTGGACTTTTGAACCACTAAATCAAAAAATGAAATTTAACTGTAGAAAACCATACATAGACGAGTAAAATTTAAAAAGCACATCTAATCAGACGTATTTCAGATGGTTGACAGTGATTTATCAGCAGTGATGAATATGTAAGGAAACAGATCACATGGTTTCGAAGGTCAGGGTGGATTTTTCTCGTGTATTTTGTAAGTAATGTTTAACTGTTTGTCCTGAAAAACCATGTCGTTATACGACAAGTAGTGTATCAGAAATCTATGTAAGTTTAGAATTTCGTCGTTACCTATTTTGTGACATTTTCTTACCGCCGAAATTCTGATAAATTTGTCTAAATATTTTCACAAATATAGTGCTAAACATAGCTTGATCTTTATAATCATTTTTTCAGTTTTCTACTCCTATTTCACAGAATTGTGGTCATCAATGATCCTATGGTATTAGGAATACGTGTTGATCTTGAAATTGGTGTTACGTAAACTTTAGTAAAAATAATCAACTGATATTTAGTTTTTAAGAAACAGTATTCGCGAACTGGGATTAAGGCACATTCTACACATTTCTACTTAGATATAAGACTAATTTTAGTGTGAACAAGAATAAATGATGAAACGAAATTGGCGAACTGATACAGGAATAAAAGCACTATATATTCAGTAACTCAAACTGAGCAACAATGCAAACGGTTGTCCCATTACTTGATATTTTCAATGAGACATGTGAAAGCAACACCTGCAACTGGAAAACAATTCACTTAATTAGACTACAGTGGTGCATCTGAGAAATTCGAACTGAGAATAAAACAGTGAGAATTAATTGACAGTAATTCATTCAATAAATAAATACATTTTTCAGTTGAATTATTAAAACCGAACAACAGTTCTAACCAGTGCTTTCAACATGGTGGTGCATCACCTTAATTCTTGTTCCGTTTTGTGGTTATTTATTACAAACAATTCCATGGTGTGACCCTGTGAGCTAATTCACTTTAATTACTATGTCATAGTAACGTATTCAACATAATCAAAATAATAGTCAAACATTCTTTATTCCTTGAAGCATACCAGATATACAATAGAAAATGACTAAATGCTGGTGGCTTATATACTCTACTCATTCAATTTGTTGTCCTTAAATTACATGAACGCTAAATAATAACAATGCTTTATTACAATATGACAGATATAAATTGTTTCGGTGAAGAGCAATAGTTGGGTTAAATAAAACAATATATCAACGACCTTTTATGGAATTTCATTTTGTATTGTCCACTTATCAAGTCAACGTAAAACATTGTTATTTTTCAATCACCTGGTTACCAAATTGTTTGTTTTTATTTTGCTTGAGGACAACTGAGCAAGTAGTACACTTTATCACAGTTTAGTCTCAGCTTCACCTTATACTTCCATTTCACTATCGCCCAAGCGACTAAAGACTTGTTATCATCATTATGTTTTTGGTCAGTATAGAATTATGTCGGAATAATTGTTGCTATTGGAGTGTTTAAGTTTTTCTTTAAAAAAATAATCATTTATATGACAAATATGTGAATGGTCAACAGGTTTCGTTTGTTCTTCGGGATTGTAATAAATAGGTGAAACTATCTGGAATGCAGTAATTGTATTCCGATTGGCCGAAACGATTACATATTTGGCAACGACTTCAATAAATTCAGCTTTACTTGGAATTAATTTAGCTACTGACTGAAATTAGTAAAATCATCCAGAAATACATTGAACGAAGTTGAACCCGATAGTTCTATTATCGTCTTCGTCTTACTTATATTTTCACATTCATAAATAATGATCCTCTATCAAAGAATTTCAACAAATTTGATCATTATACTGATTCATACTGTTTGTAAGTTAATGAATGATTGTTTAAGTATAAACTAATATATTCCGTTTAGTAGCACATGCGTCATTTGAACAATCCACTAAATTGTGTAAGAATAATTCATCGTAAGTCTGTTGAAAGAATATTAATAGTTTACGATCATAGTCGTGATGGCAATAAATATTTATATTTTTCTGTTTAAATGTTTCTTTGATTGATGAGTGGTTCATTAATAAACAGGAGTGAGAAGATAAGTGACGAATTGTGTTCAGTCGTTATCAGTCTTGTATCATTACTTTCTTGGTAATATTTTTCATTTGTAGTCGTCTGTTTACACTGACTAGTTACAGAATATTCGCTAATATCATGTTTGTTTATTTTTTAGTGGTGACCTTAATCTATGGTTTAGGTAGTTGCTAACATGCCCCAAATAGCACACAACCATTGCATTTCCTACCGACTATCTTCAACCACCTAACAACTTTCTGTGTTATATAGATACATAAGTAAAATAAAATGTGGTACAATTGTTTGTATTGAGCAGTGGCAAGACATTTGTTTCACTTGTGGTTTACAGTATAGACATCAGTTATTAACTATGTATGTCTAGGATTCGCAAACACTAATCCCAATCGAACTAATGTGACTCGAAACATAGAGGAAGCGATCAACTATAATTACAGTCAAATTGAATTATGTTACAAACAAGTAGTAGAGGAATATTTTTAATTTTCTGTATGAATACTACATCTCAAAAACGTTTGTTCTACCATTCAATAAACGTGAAGTAAATTGCATTTTACTATTGTGTAAACCAAATACAATCATATTATCCGTCGACTTATATCAGTAACTGAGCTTAAAGACAGGCAATTAATTGATAACAAATCAAACGAGGCAAGTATCACTTTCAGAAGCTAACATATAGAAACCCCATAGAAAAGATGAAAGTAATCAGAACCGCTAAACACTTCCTGACTTAATTAGTTTAAATGAGAGTTGTAAACTAATTAAGGGTAATGGCCTGAGAACCTTTCGGTTGAGTGACATAATTATTAATATAACGTTCAATGACAGATAGTGCTGAAGACAAAGTTTCTCAAAATAGTGTATCCATAGTTTCAGGTGCTTGATTTTGAAGTTTAACAAACCAGCTTCTTTTTCGGAAATAGTTTCACTGACTGTTGATTTTAATACACTCAATATTTTTGGCACGTGCGAAAACTGCCGAGTAATATCCGAAATGTAATTTAAAATATTTGGACTGTCTAAAGTAAAGGTGAAACTTAGTTGATCTTTAGTCAGCCAATAATGGTAATGCGTTATCTTGATACAAGGACATTTACTGACACTTCTGTTTGTTTGGAATATCACACCAATGGCGTATAAGAATGGTAGTTCAAAGTAAGCTGAGCACACTTCTCAAAAACTCTAGGCTACTTATGGGCATCATTTTCGGTTTCATTTATGGTTAAACAAACCTTAGACCTTAATGATCTGTTGTTGATTGTGTAGTAAATACAGTCAGCGATTTCGTATCGATATTATTTTCAAAGCTCTTTACTCTTAGTTTCGATTTACCAACTCTGCAAGATAAATGAACTTGTAGAAGTATTAAATATATTTTTTATTTAAACTGTGCAGAGATGTTCTGCATAATACGTTTCTAGGATGTCCAGGTCATGAACAACGACGGACAGGCATGCAAATAGTACATATTCAAATATATTTAGCTAATGTACTGATGAAACTTTTGTTGTACTTAATATACACCATGATTTCTTATCTTCAGACTCAAATAACTGACTTTTATTGCATTATATTTGCTTTATACACGTCAGTTTCACGCACTAAAACTAAAGTTGTTGGAAACACACATAACAAATTTCAATTATCCACAAACTCTAAATTATTTGTGTGCAAGACTTCAATACACAATCATTTTGTCTAGGAGCTGTGTTAATGGTCACTGCATCAATGGAACGTGTGTATGTATTACATGCTAAATCGGGAAAACCTGTGAAAAACGAGGTAAGTCAGTTATTTATGGTTTAACTAGTCAATATTAGTAATAACAAGACTATGTTTTTGTAGGGTTTGATATATATTTGGTTACATTCTGTCAATCCTTTATCAAGATGATGCTAAAGACTTCTATTTCAAGTTCATAAGATGTACTGTGGTACATTCTCCTTATATCTGTCAACATAAATAGTATGTAAACAAATCAGAAGTTGGATGCCTGTCAAAAGAAGCTTGAGAAGCATTCTCAAGAATTCGAACAGACCAAAAGGCGTGATTATGACTGTTTTTCCTATATTTTCGGATGCCATCGGGATTCAGTGATAAGCTCTTACTAAGTCTAGCTTCGAAAAGATCAGTTTTCCATGCAAATTTAGAGAGAAATCATATAGATTAGGAATAGGAAACCTGTCCGGAATGGTCTGGTTATTTAAACGTCGATAATCTCCACATGGGCGCCAGTCTTGATCTTTCTTCAGAACCATGTGCAACGGCGAGGCCCAAGGACCGTTAGATTGTCTAATTATCCCAAGTTGCATCATGTGTTCGAATTCTCTCTTTGCAAACTGCAACTTGTTTGGTGGTAACCTCCTCTCCCTGGTGCAAATGGGTGGACTTGTAGTAGTGATGCTGTGTTGTACAAGATGCGTGGTGCGTTACCTTTGATAATCAACTCCAGTTATTCAGTCATATTTCGACAGTATAACGGTGAAAATGTTATTCTCAGGTCTTATCATTCGGAATCCATGAATTTCGTAATTGGAGGTAGTTGCGCTGCTTACTTGTAAGCTAGTGTTCTTGTTCTCCAAAACACATGAAGATCAAATTTTCATAAAACGCTACGAATATTTTTTGTCAAAAATGTTAACTTTCTAAGTATGAAAACTATTTAAAATAATGTTATTAGTAAGAATTATACGTAGGCATAATTGTCTTTGAATTCGCATGTGTTTCACACTCACATATCCTACAAAACACTGTGGTGTTTAGGATAGCAACACGTATTCATAATGACTTCAATGGTTCCGATGTTAATGAAATAGGATAGTGTTTTCATTAGGACGTAGTTATCCGATTCAGTAAATGTGCACAATAAAATATAGAACCATGATGTGTACTATCCAAATTAATTATGATTTCATGGGTTTTGACGAGTATTATCATTTTTTCTCTTTATAGGGCTTCATAGTTCCACCGGATACTATCAGTGTTACATTTTCCAGAGTATACATCCGAGATAATCTAAATTATTGTCTCTCTGACGCATGGTTTATTGATTCCATAATTGTCCTCCCACCTGGAAATCATAGTTTGATCATGAATTTTTCTGGTCCGTCTTTAAATAGTGTATATTATGGATATATACAATATTTGTTCGCCTACTACAATGGGACAAATATAGCAAATAACTATACTGTGAAGTTTAATAATCTCACATACTTGAACAATAATTCCTCGGTAATGATATGAACATAAATAAGCTTTGATGTATTCAATATTTTTAGTTAATTATTGTTAATATATACATGATGAAGGAAGTAGATTTTTACACAGCAATGTGGAATTGCTAACGCTCCTTTATTTAGCTTGACTAAGGGTAGATGGAGCATTTTAGGAAATTTTATTTTCATTTATGATCAAGTCATATCATGTTTATAATAAATTTTGTCAAATTTATTCTTTCATACTTCACTCTTGACGTTCGAACTCAATAGTGAATATCTTTCTTTATTATTCTTAATGGTGAAAATTGTGAATTCATTGGGTTTCGTTTAAATAACATTGGATTGTCTTAGACAAGAAGATGAGCTAGTCATTAGTTACTATGGAAAGTATACCGATATGTGCAAGGAATTATTCCATGTTTCAATGAAGAATGAGAGTTCTGTTTCATATAAAAATATTCCAAATACACATCCATGTGTCGCTCACTTTCGTGGATTAGTTGAAGTTATACAGGGAGTAACATCATTTTGGAGAAACTTTCTTGTATTTATATTTCTATTCAAAGTGAATTAAATTTTATGCAAATTAACTATCCATTGTTATGAATCTTAATAATCTCACTGTGGGTATTTAAAAGTTGGTTTTAACTATTTAAAAACCTTTTTCTCTCGAATACATATTCAGCATCAGCAGGTATATTGAAAATTTAATATGAAACAGAACTCTCATTCTTCATTGAAACATGGAATAATTCCTTGCACATATCGGTATACTTTCCATAGTAACTAATGACTAGCTCATCTTCTTGTCTAAGACAATCCAATGTAATTTAAACAAAATCCAATGAATTCATAATTTTCACCATTAAGAATAATAAAAGAAAGATATTCACTATTGAGTTTGAACGTCAAGAGTGAAGTATGAAAGAATAAATTTGACAAATTTTATTATAAACATGATACGACTTCATCATAAATGAAAATAAAATTTCGTAAAATGCTCCAACTGCCCTTAGTCAAGCTAAATAAAGGAGCGTTAGCAATTCCACATTGCTGTGTAAAAATCTACTTCCTTCATCATGTATATATTAACAATAATTAACTAAAAATATTGAATACATCAAAGCTTATTTATGTTCATATCCTTACCGAGGAATTATTGTTCAAGTATGTGAGATTATTAAACTTCACAGAATAATTATTTGCTATGTTTGTCCCATTGTAGTAGGCGAACAAATATTGTATATATCCATAATAGACACTATTTAAAGACGGACCAGAAAAATTCATGATCAAACTGTGATTTCCAGGTGGGAGGACAATTACGGAATCAATAAACCATGTATCGAAGAGACAATAATTTGGATTATCTTGGATGTATACTCTGGAAAATGTAACACGGGTAGTATTCGGTGGAATAATGAAGCCCTATAAAGAGGAAAATCTGATAATAATCATCAAAAAACATGAAACCATAATTAATTTGGATAGTATACATCATGGTTCTATATTTTATTGTGCACATTTACTGAATCGGATAACTACGTCCTAATGAAAACACTATCCTATTTCATTAACATCGGAACCATTGAAGTCATTATGAATACGTGTTGCTATCCTAAACACCACAGTGTTTTGTAGGATATGTGAGTGTGAAACACATGCGAATTCAAAGACAATTATGCCTACGTATAATTCTTACTAATAACATTATTTTAAATAGTTTTCATACTTAGAAAGTTAACATTTTTGACAAAAAATATTCGTAGCGTTTTATGAAAATTTGATCTTCATGTGTTTTGGAGAACAAGAACACTAGCTTACAAGTAAGCAGCGCAACTACCTCCAATTACGAAATTCATGGATTCCGAATGATAAGACCTGAGAATAACATTTTCACCGTTATACTGTCGAAATATGACTGAATAACTGGAGTTGATTATCAAAGGTAACGCACCACGCATCTTGTACAACACAGCATCACTACTACAAGTCCACCCATTTGCACCGGGGAGAGGAGGTTACCACCAAACAAGTTGCAGTTTGCAAAGAGAGAATTCGAACACATGATGCAACTTGGGATAATTAGACAATCTAACGGTCCTTGGGCCTCGCCGTTGCACATGGTTCTGAAGAAAGATCAAGACTGGCGCCCATGTGGAGATTATCGACGTTTAAATAACCAGACCATTCCGGACAGGTTTCCTATTCCTAATCTATATGATTTCTCTCTAAATTTGCATGGAAAACTGATCTTTTCGAAGCTAGACTTAGTAAGAGCTTATCACTGAATCCCGATGGCATCCGAAAATATAGGAAAAACAGTCATAATCACGCCTTTTGGTCTGTTCGAATTCTTGAGAATGCTTCTCAAGCTTCTTTTGACAGGCATCCAACTTCTGATTTGTTTACATACTATTTATGTTGACAGATATAAGGAGAATGTACCACAGTACATCTTATGAACTTGAAATAGAAGTCTTTAGCATCATCTTGATAAAGGATTGACAGAATGTAACCAAATATATATCAAACCCTACAAAAACATAGTCTTGTTATTACTAATATTGACTAGTTAAACCATAAATAACTGACTTACCTCGTTTTTCACAGGTTTTCCCGATTTAGCATGTAATACATACACACGTTCCATTGATGCAGTGACCATTAACACAGCTCCTAGACAAAATGATTGTGTATTGAAGTCTTGTACACAAATAATTTAGAGTTTGTGGATAATTGAAATTTGTTATGTGTGTTTCCAACAACTTTAGTTTTAGTGCGTGAAACTGACGTGTATAAAGCAAATATAATGCAATAAAAGTCAGTTATTTGAGTCTGAAGATAAGAAATCATGGTGTATATTAAGTACAACAAAAGTTTCATCAGTACATTAGCTAAATATATTTGAATATGTACTATTTGCATGCCTGTCCGTCGTTGTTCATGACCTGGACATCCTAGAAACGTATTATGCAGAACATCTCTGCACAGTTTAAATAAAAAATATATTTAATACTTCTACAAGTTCATTTATCTTGCAGAGTTGGTAAATCGAAACTAAGAGTAAAGAGCTTTGAAAATAATATCGATACGAAATCGCTGACTGTATTTACTACACAATCAACAACAGATCATTAAGGTCTAAGGTTTGTTTAACCATAAATGAAACCGAAAATGATGCCCATAAGTAGCCTAGAGTTTTTGAGAAGTGTGCTCAGCTTACTTTGAACTACCATTCTTATACGCCATTGGTGTGATATTCCAAACAAACAGAAGTGTCAGTAAATGTCCTTGTATCAAGATAACGCATTACCATTATTGGCTGACTAAAGATCAACTAAGTTTCACCTTTACTTTAGACAGTCCAAATATTTTAAATTACATTTCGGATATTACTCGGCAGTTTTCGCACGTGCCAAAAATATTGAGTGTATTAAAATCAACAGTCAGTGAAACTATTTCCGAAAAAGAAGCTGGTTTGTTAAACTTCAAAATCAAGCACCTGAAACTATGGATACACTATTTTGAGAAACTTTGTCTTCAGCACTATCTGTCATTGAACGTTAGGCATAAGAGTTCATCAGATAGTAGAAGACAATATGTTACCCCATACATACTTAAATACTACAATAATGTTTGCTTCTGAATTTTTCTTAACTCATGTTTTGACCAAAATCTAATTCTCTTGACCATGGGTATAGTTAATGTGACTGTATTATGGATATGATGCAAAAAACATTTAATTCACAACTTCAGTCGATCGTTTTTCTGTTACTATGTAATTTTTTTTTTCAAGTTTAGTGTTGTTTTTTTTTACGTTTTATAGATGGATATACAATTTACTACTTACATAGAAGGGGATTGCAATACAACAGAGACAGAAACATATTCGTTTCCAAGCTGGTATAATATAAGTGGCAACGCAAATAATATTAGTTCATCTAATATGGACTTCGTAATCACACCAAATTTTCCAGTTTACACTGATGTAAGTGTTAAATTATATAAAAACAGTTTAAGAACCTTTATAGTGGTCTTAGGGAAAAACCCTATCAAGGTGAAAACTTATTTAGTTTGATTACACATGTTACTCGTCGTGGAGGAGCATAGGCCACTCACCAGGATTCGCCATCCAACTCTGTTTAAAATTCTGACTTACTTTTGAAATATTGGAGAATCTCAGATTTACAAACACTTCTCCATTCAGACGTTCACATACTAAGCATTCACGGATGTATATTTTACACATATGACATATGTTTAAACAAAATATAGAACTATATAAGAACACTAGTCTAAATTAGAGCGAATAGTTTCACAGTATTTGAGCGCCGAGTTGATGTAAGACATTAAATAGGAATAATATATTTGTAAAATCTCAGCGAATGAATTTGTAATATATGATATGAACATATATGTCACAGCATGTATAAAATGAAGATAAATAAACAAAATAAAAATAAAAGAGTGAAATTCGAAGAGGAAGAATGTAATTTGAAACTGAATGTATGTGTCATTTTTAATGTTCCAGTTAATTGTTTAACAAATTCCGATAAGACAACTGATTAGAATCATTGAATGGAATTAAATTCACTTAGTATTGTTTGTTTGAATCTTCCCATCGATGTGCTAGGACTGCAACTGGTCAGTCTCTAATTGGCAAATGTGCATACTGTGCGTATTGCCTTGATATAGCCTTAATTCACAAGCATGGCAAGCAGAGATCTGAGATGCAGGTACATCCAGCTGACGAGTCCCAAATAGGACGAAACGCGCGTCCCGGATTCCACTGCTAGCCACTATCCATCTCTGCTTACCATGACTGAATGTAATTGCTGTCATTTAGATAATACGAGATAGATAAAAACGGTAGGAGTTCAGGTTTTTACTTATTAATAATTAGTTGCCATGGCACTGCTAATTGTATTCCATCCCTCCTATTAATATTGTTTGGATTAGCCCAAATGTATAGGGCTTCAGCTGTTTGTCTTTCTTTGTAAGAATTGAAATCTTTTTGAAGGATTCTTGTGCCAACGAAATCAATTTTATGACCCGATTCTATCGAGTGTAGTGCTATCGCTGACTTGTTCTCCGGTTTACTTACATCATCTGAGGACTTAAGAATATGTTTCAAGCATTGTTTGTGTTCCTTCACCCTCACATTCAGTTGTCTGTATGTTTCACCTACATACGTTGCATTACAGTCACTACATCTGATTTCATAGACACAATTCTGTTGTTCTTCTTTGTGGATTGGATCTTTAATTCTTACTCATTTTGATCTTAGAGAATTGTTTGTTCAAAAAATACTCTTATATTTTGATTATTTAAGATTCTTCTAATGTCTTCTAAAACACCTTTCCGATATGGGATCTCCACTGTGTTAACCCATTCCTCTTTCTTTAAACCTTTTGTATTATTAATGACATCTTTTCTTTCATTCTAAATTATTATTTTAATAAAATCCTTCGGATAATTGTTCATCATTAGAATAGATGTAATTAAATTTATTTCCTTTTTCATATGGTTTGGTTCAGTGACAAGTTTTTGAGCTCTTGTAATCATATTTTTGGCCACTGTCACTTTGGTCAAGTATGGATGTGCCGATTTAAAATCTAGAAATTTCCCTCAAATATGTCGGCTTTCGGAATATACTAATTTTCAAAATAAAGAACTGTTGTCTTCAGAGATGGTCATTTACTCAATATCTCATACTGAGATAAACCTATGGATTATATCCTATGGATTCACGAATCATGCATTATTTTTATCCACTTAAACATGAATCCAAACTGTCTATTGTATAAATGATATGACGTGAAATATCATAGATACTGACATTGACCATTCTTAGTGCATAATTAGCTTACTTACTTACGCCTGTTACCCCTCATGGAGGGGCATGGGTCACTCATCAGCGTTCGCTATCCAAATCTGACCTGGACAATACTTCTCAGTAGTTTCCAGTCGCTATTCATTATTTTCATGTCTCCTTCCAATCCTCGATACAGTGTGTACTTTGGCCTTCCATGTTTAGTGCTTATCTCGTGATGCAGTTTGACGGTTTCCTCAATGTGTGTTCTATCCACCACCATCGTCTTTTCCTAATTTCCTCTTCAACTGGAAACTAGTTTGTTCTATTTCCCACAGTAGACTTTTGCAGATGGTATCCGGTCAACGGACATTGAGTATCTTACGTCGACAATTGTTTATAAATACTTGTACCTTATTGATGATATTTGTAGTAGTCCTTCAAATTTCAGTTCCGCACAATAGAACCAACTGTATTGACATTCGTATTGAAGATTGTGACTTTGATATTGTTTGAGAGTTGTTTTGAGTTCCATATGTTCTTCAATTGTAGGAATACTTACCTCTCTTTGCCAATTCTCGCATCTAGGTTTGTATCAGGTCATCCTTGTTCATCGATGATGCTTCTCAGTTACGTGAGAGCTTCCACCACTTCCAGAGCTTCTCCATCAAATGTGGTTGAGGTGATGTTCTCCGTGCTGTATTTGAGGATTTTACTTATTCTCTTGTGTTTGTTGAGGGCCAGTCAATCACCAGAAGAATTAGAAAGGGAAAGAATAATCAGCCTTGTCTGACCCCGGTCCTCACTTATGATGCATCTGTCAGCTGTCATATCTGCATCACTTTGCAATGTGGTCCGTTGAATTATTTCAAATGATATTGACGATCTTCTCAGCTACACCATAGTGTCGAAGACGTTTCTATAAGGCTTACCTAACCACACTGTCATACGACTTCTCATAGTCAAGGAAGTTGATGTATAGTGACTAGTTACATTCAAATGATCGTTCAAAAATGATCCACAATGTTACAATATGGTATGTCCACGATCGATCCTTACGAAATCCAGTCTGTTCATATCGAAGTTGGATGTCTATAGAATCTTTCATCCAGTTCAACAACACTCTGTTGAAAACTTTTCCGGGTACCGATAGTAGTGTGATGTCTCTATAGTTCTCACATTTTCTCACATCTCCTTTCTTTGATATCTTGATGATTTGTCCTTCGTTCCAGTCTGTCAGTGACACTTGTTCATCCTCCCAAGACTTCTTGAATAGAATATGAAGCATGTTTGCAGTTACTTCTATGTCTGGCCTAGGTGTTTCAGATTGAATATTGTAAGGTCCATCTGCTTTCATACTCTTCATTTGACAAATGGTCATGCTGATTTCTTCCATCCTTGTTGGAGTGACATCTATCGGAATGTTTGTGTGTTCTATTTCGATGTCCATTGAATTCAGTGCAACTGGCCTATTTAAGAGTTCCTCGAAGTATTCTATCCATCTGTTCCTCTGTTCTTGAATCTCGGTGATTGATTTGCCTTCTTTGTCCTTGACCGGTCTCACTTGTTTACTATATTTCTCTGTTAGATTCTTCGTGGTGTAACATAGTTATTCCGTATTTCCTTCTCTCACAGCTTTTCCCACTACCGTTGCTACTTCTTCTACAAATTTCTGTTTCTCAGCTACTATTGCTACTCTTCACTTTTTTGTTTCCTTCAGTGAATTCAGCTTGTGACTTGACTTTCTCTGTTCATGTTCGACTTTTGTTGTTAATTACTGTTTTCTTGTTCTTCCTTTCTCCAATCTTGTTCAGGGTTCGCATAGAGATGCGATCATTCTAGTGATGCTTGTTGTGGTCCACAATCTCCTGATATGTTGAATTTAGTTTCTCTTTGACTCCTTTCCAGTACTCCACCATCGTAGTTTATTCTTCTTTTTCTTCGTTCGGTAGATCTTGTAAGGCTTGTAGTGTATTGTTGAGAGTTCTCTTGAGTTGGTTTAATTAGTTGGTATCTGAATGGAAGACTGTATTGAATCTTTGTAATGCTGTTCGTTCAGTTGTTCTCTGCTTCTTTAGCTGTCGTTTCGTCCTCGCAACAAGCAGATAGATATCATGTCATGCTATGTCAGCTACTCTCCTCATTCTCACGTCCTCCATTGTCCTTCCGAATGTGTTAGTGATGCAAAATGATTTATCTGGTTCTGTGTCGTATGGTGCGGTGAAACACATGTAACATTGTGTATGCGTTTGAGGTGAAATGTTGTGCCACCCATAACCATTTCGTTGAATGCACATAGATTTGAAAACCTGTCACCATTTTCGTTCGTTTCTCCCTGTCCCAGTCCGTGTCGTCCCATGGTATCTTCATATCTAGTTTTGTCCATTCCGAATTCCGTGTGTAGGTCTCCCATCAGAATGTTAAGGTCTTTTCCTGTGTACTTCGCTATGATTGATCGCAGCTTCTTGTCAAACTGATCTTTATGGTAATCGTTGCTATTATTGGTGGGTGCATAACATTGGATGACATTCACTTCGGAGTTAGTTTAAAACTAATGTAATTTAAATGATTCACTAACTAGTATTCATTTAAAAATATTTCATCAAATTCCTGATTCACTGAAATTCTCGAAAATTTATACTAGTTGTTGAAAATAATTGTCAGTCCTCCATTTCTCTCGAGATGAACACAAATTGGTAATGATTTGTTACTAACATGAAATTCAGTTGCCATATCGTCCTCATTAACATGAGTAATCTCTTCAGAATAATCAACCTTTTTATGTTCAGAGCTTACTACCTTGTAACAAGAGAGTATCCAGTACCACCTCTGTTCGATTCTACTCATTGCCCCATTTTAACCACATTCATGATGTGTTAAACAAGCTTAGTTAGTTGACATTAGATTAGAAATTAATAGAATAACAATTATCAAAATTGATTATTCATGAATCTATTGACTGAATATCTGACTCAGTTTACAAGACATGATGTATAAAATCAAACATTATCATAATGAAAGAGAACAAATGTTTTACATTCAAGTTCAACACCACAAGCTAATTGTGGCAGAATTTGTACTTGGAAACAGCATTTACAATTCATTCTCTTCATATTTTACTATTAATTATACAAGAAAACTTGAACTGACTGGCATAAGAGATTTCGTTATTCGTCTGGGATAAATAAAGTATTTTAATAAGTAGTAAATACAAACTTTTAGTATTTTAAACTGTTCATTGAACAGATTCATAAAATACATAGTTACAAACAACTTTGATTTATCGAAAATTTTGTTTAAGCTTATTTTGACAAGATAATGTAAGATACATTTCTACTGATTTCTGTTCGATTCTCAGATGTTGGACCATCTGTTGAACAAATCATAGCATACACAAATCCACTTGGCATATTGTTCGGTTTGGGATCAAATGGTGGAGGTGCAGTAATGAGTAAGGATTTGGGAGAAACATGGATTTCAGTCAACTCATTCGTGTATCAAAAGACTTTGAATACTTCGACTGAAATCATCACAGCGAGTGTCATGCCATGGATTTCATTCACTGGACCGATTGACAATACACTGTTTGAGTCATTTTGCAGGATGCGAGTGGCTAAACAATGAAATGGTAAGTAATATATACTACCAAATGCTCAATCGTGTTTTCTGTCATCACACATGAAAGTGTGCATCAAAACCTATGATTATTCAATATTTCTTCAAGTTTGAGAGTCAATGTCAATTGTAACCGAACATATATCTCTTGCGATATGCACTAGATAGCAATAACAATATGTGTGGCATTTATTTCCAAGATAGTTGATTTTTCCATTGGTGAATAATCTGTTTTTCACACAGTTGTTGTTCAATAGTACCTTTATAAATTCCCAATAATCCATAACGTAACTTTTGTCATTTAATGCTGACATGAAGATGCTAACGCTACATTCATATTATTTTGTTAAGAAGCACAGAGATGAACAACGAAATTTTTAATCTGAACTGGGTTATTTCAATTGTTTCAATTGATTCCACCGTTTGCATGGTTAAAAGGCTTTACTCATTGTATACTGGTTCGACTACGTTCTACTATCTAGTATTGTTTAAATAAGAGAGATTATTATTGTACGTATTACAGGAGATTGCTAGATTTCTATCATATTCATGATTGGTTGCACTGTAGATGCGACACGCATTCACGAACACATTGTAGCATAGTTATGGTCCTATTATTAACATTCAAAATATGTTTATCAAAAATGATAGTTGATTTGAAGTTTGAGAAGTGAGTTTATCGACTGATTGATCACCGTTAAATCTTGTTTGTTTTTATATACATCTCCTTTAGTATGTATCAACGGAATTTATGCGAATGTACTTCTGTTGGCAACTGAATTAACACCTGTCCAAACATCAAACCCTTTTAACTGATCCATTACATTCACAGTTAGGATACAAAAGTTTGTTCAAATGTTTGTGCTTTTATAACGTGTTCATTTTATGTTTTGTGCAATAATAGAACATTTAGTTAATTTTCTATTAAATTACTTATCTTGCAACTAGCCTTTTTTTAAAATAAAGTACATATTAATCACACTTGCATTATATTCTGACCTAACGGAGAGTCGCTTAAGTAAGAATTTAACAGACTGTTGGTTGCTATTTAACTATTTTCTTGTGTAAGAACAGGATTTTCGTAAATTACAGCATCAGTAATATGTCAAAGTTTAGTTTCTAGAAGTTTGTCAATGTACTTGATAATTACACTATAAATGGTGATCATCGAACTATGACGTTTACTTTAGTAAAGGATAAATTAGATTTGCGACACATACTAGAGTCATCTGAAGCAACTTGAACATGGTCGGTAAAGTTTGCATACTAGAATTTAAGGAAATAAAACATAAGAATGAAATTATTGATCTTCCTCCAGACTAAACCCTTTGTCACTCAGATTGATGAAGTAAAAGGAAGCCAACTGAATATATTGTCTCAGATATTTCATTACTTCACATCAATCTGTTCAGAAGTCAGAGGGACTTTACTTTAATATAAATCTAGCGTTCTCCCAACTGAAAGAGAATACAACGCTATTGCGAATCTTGGTTTCATTTTTCATATATCTTTACTATATCAGTTGATAAAAATCTGTTTTTCACTAGAGTGGTAAATCTTCCTCAGTTTTGCATCTATCTATGATACCAGCAAGTTATTTGGCTGATGGCCACCAAAGGTGAATTAGTTGGAAATGTACTATTTGTACTATTTCAGATGAACAAAATATGCGCCTTATTTCTGGATACCCTTATGACACATAAAACTATGAAGTAAATTCTGTGTCCCACAGTCCAGTGACTTTACTGAGAAACGGCATTTCCAACTAGTTCAGCAACTTCTTTGTTAAACGTATTTAGACAAATTATTTGTGTACTCTCATAAAATTATGGAAAATTTATATAGTTTTAAGGTTCATATATAAATAAACCTCATTATGACATCGATAGGTTGAAAACTATATGGAAGACAGTTTTTAAATTAGTTCTTCATAGATGGAAAGCAGTAAATCAAATGGTAATTGTAGCGTACATAATTTTTTTTAACTGGTATAGCTTAAGATCAAACGAAATTAGTTTAAATGACTTGGATTAGTATTTATCAAAGAGCACATTCATTTTAAACGAGTTGTATCATTGCTCTATGCCCTCTAACGTGAACAATCCACTAGAAAATTATTCGACCAGACTCTCGTATTTTATATGGAACACCATTTATTAATGCTCCATAAACACTATTCAGTGTGACAAACTACATTCTGCCGTAAAATTATCGATTACTGAAAGTATTATAGCTTAAAATTGCAATTCTTCCTTGGATCTGAACTCACTTAGTTCTTCGCGAGATGTTTACCTTCCGTTGTATTGACTGATGACGTGGTATATAAAAACTATCCTTGTTTAACATGGCTACTCTCCGTAACATAATTTTATCATTACTACATTCTTCATTTGACCGGTGAAAGAACCGTCACTGTATGCTCCCATGATCTCTTAACCATTGCAGAACTTAGGTTCATTTTAGAGTGAAAGCACAATAAAATGATATGAGTATTATCTTTCCTTCGATGCTTTGGTATTTTAAAGAGAATATAGTAGTGTTCTTAGACAGGCACATTAAAAACCATTGATTGGCTAGTAGGTAAGTTTTCTTCGTTTCTTCGTACTCATTCAGTACAACAGGAATCTCATCAACAAGTAAATATTTTTATCTGGATATATTACATGAAACATGCTATGGAAAATGTGGCAACCGCATACATTATGTCCCGAATAGAAACAATTACCTAAAAGGTTTCTACGAAAAAAAAGTTATTAGGAAACTGTTTAACATAAATACATAAGAAAATATTAAACCATACTCTTACTTTCAGCAGAGATGAGATTGACAAACTACCAACAACTTTATAATATGAAGGTATTTGAAGTAAACAATCTGGGAGTATACACTTGCTACATATTATGAATGTAACTATAGAACAGATTTCCAAATTCGATCACATTATCGCCTATTTATAAATTTATTCGATAATTTCAACACACGTACATCGACGCAGCGATGTGGCAAGATAGTTTGTCCAGTTTAGTAAAATATATTGTAATCTACAACCGTTTGTCGCACCGACCTATTTTAATATAAATACAGAGACTGTTTTTGGAAATGAACAGTGATTTTTTTTCTTTCAGCAATTTCAAATTCACTGTATAAACGAAATTCTGGATTACGAGTCAGTGTATGGTGAGTAAGCATATGAGTAAATATAGGTATTTTGTTATCGTTCAAATATTCATTAGTGTTTCAGACAAATCGTTTAGGGCAAGACTTATAATTTTTAAGGTTGAAATCATGAGTCAATTGAAGCTAGACCACCATCAAAAACCTGGAAGCACTGGACGGCCCGTTCGTCCTATTATGGAACTCCTCAGCAGCGCGCATCCACGATCCCGCACTCTCGAGATTCGAACCCAGGACCTACCAGTCTCGAGCCGAAGTCCTTAACCGATAGACCACTGATGACTGGTAGGTCCTGGGTTTGAATCTCGAGGGTGCGGGATCGTGGATGCGCACTGCTGAGGAGTCCCATAATAGGACAAAACGGCCGTCCAGTGCTTCCAGGTTTTTGATGGTGATCTAGCTTTAATTGACTCATGATTTTAACTTTGAAAAATACTGAAATCTCTACATACCCCCCTTCTACTTATAATTTACATTAAAGCTCGTTTATTAGATATGATAAATAGTCTTGAGAATGAGTTATAGAGTATTATAATCAATGGAATGTTTGAAAGCAAAACAATGGTAGTTTTTGAGTTAACGTTGTTTATGTGATAGGAGATTCATCACATTGAATTTCATCAAAAATAAGATAATAGATGGTCTAACCGAAAAGTATGTTTGAACAAAGGTTAGATGTGCAACTCAGGTTGCAAATAACCTGGATATTCTCTGTTTCTTCTAAACATCAATGTAAAACCAGTCTCTCAGAGTATAATATTATTAATTGCATTTGGAATACTTTTGTTGACTCAGTTTATCAGCTAACTTGATCATTATATGATCTATTTTGTACCTGATAGAATGCAAACGTTTGTAGTGTCCAGTACAATGTCACTCCCATATAGATTATTCTAGCTTCCGTACAGTTCAGTTTATATATTCTCCTTGAGTCACGTTTTGACCTTGTCAATTACTCACTCATTAACACTGTTTTTATTTGAGTGTACGTGTGTGTATTGCTTAACAAGTAGTTGACATCTTTGTGAATTTCGTTAGATTTCATCTTTTATCTAGTTATAGTGCATTTAGAGCCACCTTCTGGTCCTTTTCAAGTAATTCCAAATTATTTTCAATCCTAGGTCATATGTGATTCACAATGTTGACAAGATAGAGCTTCCACCTGCATGGTTACAAGTTTCGAATTTAACAATATATGAGCACAGAGACCAATCGATCCCTTGAAATGACTTCACAGTAGTAATGGACTGCGTTTACCCTTAATGAAAATATTTCCCGTATGATATAAAATCAGCTGACTTAATAACTCTGAAATTAAATGTTTTTCAATAGTTGAGGTTAATTTGGTTATGATGAAAACCACTTACAAGCATTAGTTCTCAATAAAAACATACATCTGATATCCACATTACTTTTGCAACAGTTAATTCCAACAACTTCAACAAGAGGTATAAAATCAAGGTCTGTATAATTGTCCTTAACTATTGAATGATATGGTTAGTCTATCGTGGTTTTCAGTGACTTCACAATCACGTACATCTACAAGTTTTTAGTTTGGAGTAACATGGTCACTAACTATCATTTATACATGTTTCACATTTGGATGTCTCTCTTGCAACCATTTAGCATGGAATTATAGTGTCACATTGAAATGTTAAATATTACTGCATTTTATGCCGGAGTGTACTGTCCAAGCGTCTTTTACTCCAGAGATGAAGGAATAGTTCATATCTGCATAATTCTAATACATTCAATGGATTAGATGACTTTAAAACAGTATAATAATATATCTTCATTCATTAAGACATTTATTCAGTTGCATGGTTTTTGTGCCGTTATTCCACGACAGAGAATCTAACCTAGGCCTACCAGCAAATATGGAGTTATTTTGCTTTTCACTTTCACTACACTTCATGTGACATCACTTTGAATTTTAAAATTTAACTAACTATTCACTGAAAACGAACACACATCGAGATTCTGTTCTTTGATTGATGAATGAAAGACCCAAAGTTTTGACTTTCAACTGTTTTGGTACTCAAATGAAATTTCTTATCATCAAAGCAAAAGAAATCGAAATATTATAAGCATGTAATTAATGAAAAACAGGTAAAGTGTTAGATGAATAATCAAATAACAGTATGATTAGAAATTAACTGACAACTACATAATCCTATACAACTTGAATATAACATGACTTAAATTAATCAGTGCTTAAGCTATATTCATATTTCCGGTTGAGATAATTGATTGGTGAAAACAGCTTGATTTTCGGGCATGTGTAAGTCCAATTGGCTAACAGGATTTGGCTGACATAGATTTGGTTGACGCAAGCTAAAGGCAAATTATATAAAAACAAATAAGATTATACTGTTGTGAACATAATCATGTATGAGACCCACTTGCTGATTTCCAATTTATGCATTATTTGTAATAGACAAACTTTATGTTGAAGTAATCAATATTCTATTTAATTAAGCTATTTAAGTGAACATATATTTGTTTTATATAGTTGAGATCATTAGTCAATTGAAGGTAGACCACTATGGAAAACCTGAAAGCACTGGACGGCCGTCCAGGTTTTCTATGACGGTCTACCTTAAATTGACTCATGATCTCAACTATATAAAATTACTAAAATCTCTACAAAACCCTCTTCTGATATATTTGTTTGTTAATTATCATAAATACTAAAAGGATGTCATTTGTGTTTATACACTGTACTATGTTTGTATAAACGCCACTGGTTTTCTTCTATGTTCAATAAACGAACTAGATTATCGAATGGATAAACATTGTTTATAAACATTCACTTATTTAAAAAAAAACTGATTAAATCTCAAGCTGTATAAACTATGGAAATTTGAGAATTATAATAATGTATCCCATTCAGTTATCAATCTTCACTACAGATATTGACTGGAACAGCGAAATAAAAAGAAAGGTGTATGATGAAGTTACAGTACTAACATTGTGAACAGTACTGTTTAACAAGAAGGAAATACACCCACTGAATTTATTTATAAAGTATGAAAATAATTCATTGAATACACCATTTGCACATCTTGCTTGAATTATCTTTTACAGACTTCTTTCTTCTTTCATTCCTGTTGCTATTCCAGCTGCGTTTGTTTTTCTTTATTTGCTATTCATTTTTCTCTCCTGTTAGTAAGAATCCTACTTCCAGTTCCTGATACACACTACTTATATCTGTCTATATAAGTAGGACACACCACATATAGTAGCAAAAAATCTTGTCTGGTTGCACGAATATTTTTCAGTTCAGTTCTTCAATTTCGAAGTAAAAACTGTGAAGAGTCATAACCTTGAACATTTAATTGATTGTGATCATTGAGCTAACATACATGTTGATTTTCTGGCCGTTTATGTAATCCTTCCAAATTTAACAGGATCCTTAATGCAGAATAAGCTTTAGTTATCTATTACATGAACCCGGAACTTTGTTTACGAAAGGAGTATTTCTTATCTTAGCAGTTACCGTGTCCTTAACTCATTGTAATTATCTAATTTTCATTTCTCCTATATGTTATATTTAAATGAATTATCAATAATTTTATCTCAGTTCTAGCACCTTTAACTATAAAAGCAAAATATTTTGGTTATCATACTCTACTCTAACTAATCCAATATCAGTTTATTCGTTTTAAGTTTTAGTTTTTATTTGTGCATTCAATTAAACAGAAATTTGATAAATTCGTCGAGATTCGTAACTTCATATCCCTTACCATTCCATTGTTTAGCCACTCGCATCCTGCAAAATGACTCAAACAGTGTATTGTCAATCGGTCCAGTGAATGAAATCCATGGCATGACACTCGCTGTGATGATTTCAGTCGAAGTATTCAAAGTCTTTTGATACACGAATGCGTTGATTGAAATCCATGTTTCTCCCAAATCCTTACTCATTACTGCACCTCCACCATTTGATCCCAAACCGAACAACATGCCAAGTGGATTTGTGTATGCTATAATCTGTTCAACAGATGGTCCCATATCTGGAAATTAAAAGTTATGTATAATTCGATTTCCTTTATTTGTATCAGAATATTACTGAACAGAATGTTTGAAGAATATGTTTCTTGTAAATTCGTACTATGAATATCTTTAATTTGAATTAATTTCAATAAACTTACAATGTAAAAATCATTTCTTGCTGAAGGTCTTTTTCCCGCTTTTTTAACTTGATTCTCCAAAAATCAGAATCAATTTGGAAAGCTTTCTCATTTACACAACGTTTTAGCTTGTAGAGTTGGATATTAATGCCTCATATTTTGTATTCATAAATAATCTAATTAAATTTCAATAGGATAAGAGACTAAAAAGAAGACTCTTTCTCGTTCTTATCAGAGTAATATGTGATTACATTAAGTGGTTAGACTTTATGTAACCAGATGCTGAATTCGGAGACAATTTTGTGACATTCGAATGTTTGCTACAGCCTCATGTGATGTTTAGTAACCATTGTAGATGATGAAATAATGGTTACTCATTAATAACCAAATAATAAGTTTGAGAAGTCTAAATATGCATATTTCAAACTAAATCAATATCAGTATAATTGTTTAGTTTGAACTTTGGTAAGACTAAAATAGTTCGCATATCCACTATATTCAACATTGGCTTACATAAGGAACATTGAGGAAGTAATGAAATAGTTTTCTGTTTAGAAAGGTTACCTTCTTTGATTCTAACAAAAAACAAAGTTTTATTTATTTTAATAGTTGAGACCATTAGTCAATTGAAACTAGACCACTATGGAAAACCTGGACGGCCGTCCAGGGCTTCAAGGTTTTTCATGGTGGTCTACCTTCGATTAACTTATGATCTCAACTATTAAATTACTATAATATCCACAAAAAAACCCTTTCTCTTATTTATTTATTTCAATTATCTTGAAATGATAAAAGATCATTAGATAATCGAGAAGGCAATATATTTCGATTCTCTACCACTAAAACATATTAAAGATATATATTAAGTGTTGTATATATTAATACTAACATTATGGTGTAAACGATCATCTAGTACTCATAATTTGAAGAAATTCAATTAGTCAAGCTTTTACTTGCAATAGATTTCCTTCAAAATGAATATTATTGAAGCGAATCCCTAAATGAACTTAATCTTTCAACTATAAATAATAGCATTTGAATAATAAGGAAACTGAAATTTCTGTGATAACCTACCGGTCCATATTCTGTCAGGTAAAGTGCTGATCATGAAGCAACGTCTCTCCAAATCAAATGACCCCTTTATATGAAATGCACGTCCACAATAAAACAGAAGATCACGAACATTTAAGAATGTATCTGACTGACGGCTAAACAACTGCACAGCAGGGTTCCGTAATGCATTATAATGAGGTAAATCACATGGATCTGAATACAGAAGTTTACATCAAGATTAATGATTATTATCTGCCATTGCATCATAATTTGACATTTATTACTGGTCCATTTCATGTGATTAGTCTTATATGAGTGAACGCTACTATCGAAGATGAAACAAAACTCATCGAAAACATACTTATATGAAAAGGATGCTCAATAGCATTCATTAACATATGATAGTCCCTTAACATGTTCAAACCTACTCAATTAAAAGGGGGAGTGTACATTTAGAATCTACAACTGTATTGTTTTATAGAAATTCTCAGATGTGTATATTCAACTCCCTTAACTGTTCAAAAACAGACTACTGTACCTACATTAAACCCACTATTAAAATATTAGTTTTAATTTACTTTCCAAAGTAGCATATATACTGTCTTTTTTATCTCGGTTGTTCTATATCCCTTTCCTACAATTAACAAGGTAATTTGCGATCAGACAGTTAAGAATGTATTATGTTAGTATATTGTAAGCTTCTAAATGAGAAATTAATGGATTCTGATGTGTATATTTTATTCAGACTTTATCACTATTGATTTTCTGAGTTGTTTGGTACTATGTGCTTGAGAGTTATGCAACTAAAGTTACTCCATAATAAGATTCATTATTATGACTGATCATCATTGACGTTAATACACGATGATTGTAGATTAACAATCTTGTTTGAACCTCTAGGCTGCTAAGTATTTGACTGTAAGAAGAATATCCAGAATGTCACTTACTACTCAGTTTATTGATAAATAGACTAGGAGTAGTTCAAACAAACCTAAACCGTACTTGCAGTGTACAGAATGTTTCATGAATATTTAAAACTTTGTCAAAATTTCTTCAAATCCATTTGATTTTCTGTCTGATCTTCATGTTTGCATAAGCAAATTGTTCCTGTCCTGATATTTTAGTAACTTCAGTAAGTTGACTATTGGTAGCAGCACAACACTCAGTTATAGGTATTTCTTACCAAAAGTGAAAAATTCGAAAACATTTACAAATTTTGTTAAAATTAACAATCTATCCAGTAAACTGATGAGATTTACATCACCTGGATAGACTACATTGCATTACATGGTTGTCTTGCCCAAATAACCAAGAACTTTGACCTAAGGTGAGAAATTTCGATTTTTTTAAATCATTTTGACCAATTTGGATAAATGTCTTAATTACTGTGAATAAATCTTATTAATCATATTATTTACAATACACTCCAATAACAAGTTTATCATTGTATTCTTCCATGATACGAAATTAATTATACATTTTTCGACACAACTGGTTCTTAAAATCAAATAGGGTTGTTATATTGATTTTGGGTAAAAAGCAAGATGTGAAACAGTCATTAAAAAAAGAGGGTTTTATTTATAAACTGATGAATAAATTATATGACATAAACTTATTTTTCATGTTACATTCACAAATCGGTAACCATAAATAGTTTTTGATTAATACATACAAATAAAACTCACAAGAGTATGTATTGTAGTCAAGTTCGACAAGTATATGAGATCTAAATTTGTAAAATTTTGATCTTACACAGCTACTAAAGACAGAGATGTTACGTTCATACGGTTTACATACAACTTCGATTAGAACTGGAAATTTCGCAACAGATGTACGAGATGATTTAAATTTCAATCGAAAGATAGCTGCGTAGCTTTTACCAAAGTATAACTGACCAGTCTAAATAAAGAAATTTTAAAAAAAACAATTGATGACTAAGAAGTGTTCTTTTTGAACAAATTGAACGTATATACGTAGTTCAACTGATTTGAAAAAAATTAATCCATTTTTTCAGTTTAACCACAAGTAGTCTAAGCTAACAATAAAAAAACTACGCATATATCAGTATATCAAGTGTCTTGAAAATGATCTGCTTAGAATAAGGTTAAGTGAACAATTGTGGATCTCAAAACTGAATATAAACAATTCGGTTTTATAGTATTACATGAAAAACTTAAGAATACAAAGACTACTGATATGGTGTGTGCTACTGACGTTGATAGATATAAGTAGTATGTATCATCACTCAAAAGTGAAATATCTGGAAGCAGAAGGTTAAGAAGATCAGAGAAAGAGAACGAGAGCATAGAATTATTGGTGTGGAAACGAAAGAACAATGAAGTCTGAGGCGATTAATTGACATTCGCAGAAGGAACAGTCGAGTTTGAGACAATTAATTGATTCATAGTTTTTAAAGCATGAGTCAATTGAAGCTAGACCACCATGGAAAACCTGGAAACACTGGACGGCCGTTTCGTCCTATTATGGGACTCCTCAGCAGTGCGCATAATAGTCCCATAATAGGACGAAATGGCCGTCCAGTGTTTCCAGGTTTTCCATGGTGGTCTAGCTTCAATTGACTCATGCTTTAAAAACTATGAAAAATACTAAATCTCCACAAAACCCCCTCTGATAATTAATTGATTGACATTTTGGAAATTAAATATTTATTGTATGGGTCTCAGATTTTAGTAAAACGCTCTGTAATTTTATGTTCAAATGCATTGGATTGTCTTCACTTATGTTCTCTTTCACTATATAGCTTAGGTTTCAAAACAGTACAAATGATTTAAAGCTGATATATGTAACTCTGTAGTACATTGGTTCTCCTAAAATGTGAAATAAGTCCAGCTAACAACAGACAAAGATTGATTGATTGATTATTGTCAAACACAATATATTGAATGGTAATATTTTGTAGAATTTGGATTTGGCTTTAAAAATATTGTCTCTCTGACCATGATCAAATTTACCATGCCCTTCAATTAACCTATCTCACATGAAGACTGTTACTTCTTTAGGCCCGTAATAGTTCTCTTATAAATATATGTCTTCATGCTTCTATGAGTTAGCATTTATGACTAGAAGATTGATTATGAATATAGTGGTCTTGAGTGCTATTAGAGGTATGAGGGCGGTTATCACTTCCCGGTTGTTCACACCGTGGAAGGGATCTTCTAGAGGTACTGAAAAGGAAATTGAATTAGAGGTGGTCTTAGTGACCTGAGAACGTGACCACAGTGACCAAGGGACAACTGCTTGAGGTCGGTCACGCACGACCTTTTTGTGAGTAATTTTGGTGTTGGCTCCGTATTTGTTGTGACCTTTGTGCCGGAGACGGATATCCGTGGGATAAGGTGAGGTGTGCATTCTTAGGGTCGACCTTTTCTAACCCCACCCCTCCTTGTGGGAAGGCAGCATCGCTGTTGTCTGAAGGAAACACCTTACTGCCATCACACCTCTGTACAGTTAGCAGTACAATTTCGCCTTCGGACCTAGGGTCTGCTGCTTTTAGTCTTAACGCTCTTCAACCGACCTGTCTGAAATGGTAGGACCTTGAGGAGCGATTGTTTCAGCCAGTATAGCTCGATCGGTTCATCACGATAGGCAAGCCCAACCACCACGTCAAGGTAGCAGCATCGGTCGGAAGCATTTATGACTGACCGCTTCTGAAAGTCCATGCAATTATTCCTTTTATCCACTTAATTTATAATTGCATAATCTCTTAAATCTTCGCACACACATACACATATGGTAGCTTGTTGAACAGCACTCGTTAATTCGTCTTGCTCGCCTTGTGCTTATCAGTTGTTCTATTTGAGCTTTGCCTAAGATAAGCTATTGGCACTAATTTATTATTTCGCCTTCCGGAAGTAATATCCCGTTAAGGAATTACGATGATGACGGTTATTCGGGCTATTATTAGAAATCGATAACGGCAACAGAATGCTTTACTTTGAGCAATATTTTTTAGTAGAAATCTGACTGGTCATTTCAAGTCTGAAAAGTTAGTTATCTAACTCACAAGAGTGCTACATTTTGAAAAGTGAATGACACTTCATTTTCGAATAATCAGAAAACTTTAATATACAGCTATAAAGACTAACCAATTATTCATTTTAAGAAACTTATGTGAAATTATTTCATAAAATAGAATTCAGTTCATGTAAAAATTTGAAAAACTGTTTGCAAATCTTGAACAAATTCTTTTCAAATGATATGAATGTTTCCAAAGATTGAAAACAAATCACAACTATCGGAAGCAGACTATTTTCACTTGTGGATTAATTCAATGCCTTACGTTGCTTTCGTTTAATTGAGTTTACGTTTATCATTTTCGAACCTGTAAAATGTTTTGTGATCTAATTCCAGTATGCAATAAAACACACAAGCTTACTGTGAACTGAATCGATTTGGATACTGGATTTAAAGGGGTTTTCAATGTTATATCATCTATATTCCCCGTTTTATTAAATACATCAATTGATTGTATTTGTGGACTGAGATAGAAGATTATTGACTGTCTTTCACATTCCAATCCGGTACCATTCATCATTTGAACCAGAGTTTGAAGATAAACCTCATCTCTGTGTATAGGATTAGAAATAAACAATTTGAAAAGAATGTATTGAAACACTGTGGTAGTAATTGTACTACAAAATAAATAATGTAAAATATTATATTGACTGAGTATTATTTACAGTTGTTTTTGTGGATCGATTTTAGAGGTCTAAAAATGACTAAATATTCATCAAATAATTTGTATTACACTCCACATGACATTTGATCATGTGTTCACACTTTTATTGCGATCAGTGATGCCCAGTCCTTGTCAGGTGTGAGGAAAGTGCTTATCAGAGACAATGGAAGGTAGTAACGCAATGTCGCTAATTTCTTGAAGTTAGACATTTACATCATTGAATACAGGCTAATTGGTCTAATGATTGAGTGCTTTTAGAGAGGTCGAATGTATTGAGCTTGATCCCCAGTGTGGTCATGGATACACATTGTCTTGTTCTTTTTTCTGAAATTCAACTACGCTTTTGTAAGGCTTGGTTGTTTGACCACTTACCCGTTTAATCAGATTACTCAAATATTCAGGAGTTTTCAGACATCTCAGTATTCCGTTAAACCAACAGTGTCATCATGATGTTTTAAATGAAAGAGTATTAATTTTAATAGAAGGTGTATTGTTGACACCTAAAAGTGATGAAGATTGAAAAGGAATAATTTATATCAACTAGAGAATACTCCGATTAAAAATAAACAAAAGAAATTTCTGATGATCAGGGTGTTCTGTTAAATTATTTACAGTTGGCTATGCAGTTGACTGGATTGATCCATATGAAACAAGATTATAAATGTTAGTTAAGTTTACTTTTGGTATTATTCCATAGATTTGCATATCAGATGGTTCAACATATCAAAAACCATTCATAAATTTGACTCTATTTATATAACTTATAATTAGTAGTAAATTTCAAAAGAAACCACGTCTATTAGAGCATACATTTTATAATTTTGCCTTCACACATTATTCATATAAGTAACAAATAAAGGTCAGACAAATTATCACAGCCATTTTAATCTATCACACTTGATTCTTTCAAGGATTATATTTTACGTATTCAACTCATAATGTTCCTGATCAGTTAGAATTGGGCTGAACAAACAGACCGAACGGTTTTAGTATGAACCAGGAACAAATGATTAAAAACTGATGTTGAGTTAAAACAGTACTCCTTAGAATCAAAAACATGCTAAGTCGAAGGAACAGTTGAGTAAATTACCTTATTAAGCTAGAAATCATTGATTTTGAACTGAACGAAATAAAAGCAAAAAACTGGAGGATTTCACACCATGCTGGTAAAGCAGAACCACATGAAATGTATTACCGCCTGTCGCCAAAACAGTAGTTTTTATATTGGTTCTAACCTGAATTATTGAATTCGATTATTACCCTGACCAAATCCAAACTAACAACGTGGACGAAAGGTTGGAATTATTTAAATTTAAATCACTGAGATTATCTCTAATACAATACTTATATAGTTTTTACACATAAGTTACTGGTGATCTGGAGAAGGTGATTAAACTCATGTTTAATACAAACATTTTGTGGCATGAAGGATTGGAGTTTGACATTAATTTGTAACTCAAGAAAAATTGTATTAAAATCAAATTTCATGACATTGTTTTAATGATAACTTGGTAGTCATGTAACATTATAGACTGAATAAGGTATTTCTTGTGGTAGTGTTGTACAAACGGTCACGAACTGATATCATTTCATACTAATATTGACATTGTAAGGTGTGAGTAATTTACACTCTGTTTAGATGCTGATTAATAGATCCTGAGATGCACTAGGAGAGTATTTAACAGAATAATTACATTCTGTGTACTTAATATGCTATTGTAAAATAAACCCATCTCTAATGATGAATCAATCATTTTAAAGTATTAACACAAAACGAAGGTTAGAATTTTTTTGAACAAACCGATCAGGGCAATCATTGGATGCAGTCAGTGATAACTGGGATGGTACAACTTTGATTGAAGGTTTTTCCAAGCCAGTTCTGACACAAGTTACAGATAAGTTGGTGAGTTTTGTAATATTATTGAATTGACCAGTAAATTGCAGCAACCAGACAGTTCCATTTTCCACACTTCTACTATCACTTAACTGGATATCTATTGAAAGGCTGGCAGTGTTGCGCATTAGAGGTACACTCACGGTTCCTATAAATTGAGAACAATGTCCTAATAAATATTTCATGGAATTTAGATTATAGGACAATGTATTTGTATTGAATTAATGGTAGGCCATCCAAGCAACACTCTTAAATTAATTGTATCATAATATAACAAAAAGCAGAGCAGACGTTTCAGGCAATCAGTCACTCATTTGAACATCTAGGACACATGTTGTTTCTTAATTATAGAAAGGGGTTTTGTGGAGATTTAGTATTTATCATAGTTGAAAGCGTGAGTCAATTGAATCTAGACCATCATGGAAAACCTGGAAACACTGGACGGCCGTTTCGTCCTATTATGGGACCAGTGGAGTTCAAAACCACGTCTGTTGTGAGATAAGAACTCATTGAAGACAATTGGTGAATGGTTGCTCAACTTCGTGGATCAGTTGAAGTTAGACATTAACACCGTTGGATGCCAGCTCAGTGGTCTATCGGTTAAGGGCTTCGGCTCGAGACTGGTAGGTGCTGGGTTCGAATCTCGCGAGAGCGGTTTCGTGGATGCGCACTGCTGAGGAGTCCCGTAATAGAACGAAACGGCCGTCCAGTGTTTCCAGGTTTTCCATGGTGGTCTAGCTTTAATTGACTCACGCTTTCAAACATGTTGTTTCTGACAAAATTTCCATATTACAATTCGAGTGGATTTCAGATTACCTAAAGAACGTCCTTATCACAAATAAATGGTTATTTCACTACATGTGGTTTACTGAGGTTACTGAATTTCATAGATTACATCACAGATTAATCTTAGATAAATAACCACTGAAAGCCAAGAAGCATTGAACGGTTGTTTCGTTCTAATACTGGACTCTTTGAAAATGTACATTCACAACCCATCTGGGATAGAACACAGTACATTTTGGACTCACAGTGAGCCACCAACAGTTAAGCAACCGAGCTGGTATCCAGTGAATTCCGTTTATATCATAATCTTGAAAAAACTATTCGCATAAATATTTAATTATGTTCTGAGTCATAGAATTATTGCGGCAGCTGAGTAGCTCATTTATTGTTTAAAATAGATAAAGAATATGAATCCCATTAGAAGTCAACTTACCGATATTTGCGATATTTTTAAATTGAATTATCAGGCGATCCATTAGGCCTGTTTGATTATTTGGCTTATAGGTTGATGAATAAGTGGTCGTCAGGGGGACTAAATTTGAACCTAAGCTTATTTTGAAATCAATGACACTAATTATAGTCTCATTTTTATTGTTTGCTCCTCCTCCACTGATTTCTACAGACGAGTTTGGATAGGTGGAACTTAGTGGAAATATATAATTCACAGTAATAGTTGTTCTTTGACCTGGCTGAAGATTAACTTCAATTGGAAATAATTCGACCATTATCTGAAAGGGAAATATTTGAGGTAATATTATCGCAATAATGGTTGAACGTTGCTAAAACTTTGAATAGTTTCGTACTTCAAATTTCTTAAATGCTTCGTGTTATATTCTGACGAGAACAAATGAACGGTAATTGTTATGAATTATTTATGGATCAATATTATGTGTATATTCTCAGTGTTTGACTATTAAGTGACCACATTATATGTATATTCACATTCATTCCATTATAAGCTTCTATTTGGCCTATAGGCTATTATTATACGACTTACCATTCTTAAGTCATGTCCAGTTTATTAATAACAGTCTCCCACAATCACAGCCACTTTTGGCTTGATCTTGTACAAATGTTATTTTCTATTTTATGGTGTGATGTAGTCTGATTTTGTTTGTGTTTGTATGTTTGAAATATATTGTTCATATCGCGGAGGCTGAGGTTGGAGTTCCGGACTAAACAGGCAGGGCTGGCGAAAAAAGGACAGATCGGAACTCTGGACTGCTGGTATACTGGTGTATGCGTCATTAGCTTGGTAGTAAAAGTCAGAGTATGTAAACTGGTAATCGTATTTCTCAAAAATCGTATAGCTAAGGACATAACACTTTCACTAATATCTATTTCGTCATCACTGCAAACTGAGAGGTACTAATATAGAACTAATGTTTTAAATGTTTTGTTAAATCTTGTTGTATTATTTATGTCAAGAAATGAGGGTGATTCTAACACGAAAGAATTCATAGTGATAAGAGTATCAAGTCTAGAACCAAATTATTATCTTCTTTTCTCGATACTATGTAAAAACTAACACTACTTACATTGTGGCTGACATTAATTGAGAGCACTGATACATACCAGCTTGCTTACAAATGCCATAAAAGCAGTTTAAAGGTTGCAATTGTGCATCACAAAATAATTCTTATTCTAGAGAAGGGTTTCATTTATGTTCGACACCCTTTTCTAGACTAGATTTTTATATTAAATTTCTTCCCCAGACGTCTGTGATTATTCATGTTTGTTAGTATTGAGACGGTGAACTGGATAATCAGTTACCTGTGTTCCCATTCTCCTTGAAGAGTACAGTGGGAGAATGAATAGGTTTTCATTCTTTATTGAAAAGTTTTAGTATACCTCAGGAAATTATTCTTTACCCCTTAATTTTCTCTTATTCCTTGAGTAATCTTGAATGTGCGAAATTTGACTGGTCAGTTATATGGACAATATTACTGTATCCGTGTTAGTTATTCCTCTTCTGATTGCTCTAAAATAAACGAGATCTTAGTGCACATTGAACGATAGTCTTTTGTGAATAGTCTCATGATTAGTGGCTAAGATCAGGAAAAACAATGAATGCGATTGTAAATGAACACTTGAGATTTTGTAAACAAGTCTTATGATATCAAATACAAACTACTTACTCCACTCACAGTTTTCCTCTTGTGTATCTTCAAGCAGAATCAGGTGTGGGAACATTAGAATTCATATAATCAGAAGAAACCCATGTTACTCAAAAGAAACCCATGTTACTCAAAAGTTGTAGTAGATGGTCTAACCGATACCTATCACATCGACCCCAAATAGTTAGTTAATAAATACCGATATGGTTTCGTCTAGTCGTAGGAATAATGACTGTGTTCATAGAGGTTTTCGGGTTGGCCCACTGTACTTGTGAATTAAGAAATAATGAAGCTATTCTGATGGAAACTATTATATTACGAATTCTATGGAGGCACTTGCCACACACTTTAACAATTAATTCTTAACATTAGAAGATGAAGTGTAGGAAAAAATTGATATTCCTGCATGACAGCTTAGAGTTCGGCTACTCATTATACATATTGACGAAATCATGATTTCCAAGCCTACAGAAAATCATCGAATTAGTGGTAAACAATGAGAAAAAGAAAAGATAATGAATAAATCGAAGGGTGAAGTTGAGCTGTACCACCAAGCTAACAGTGAACGTCCAAACCATTTCTAGTTCACGTAACATTTACCAAAGATGTTAGAAATTAGTGTCTGTATTTAGAATTAGGAATGAAGGTTACAGTTTTCATCACGAACTAGCGTCGACTATAAATCAAGTACCTCAAACGCATATCCTAAGCACTCTTAACATATTAAGTAATTTATCAACCCTTGCCATCTTTTGACTGGTTAAACGGGTTGAGATATCGAGGTCGTTCAGTGGTATAGCTCAGGTCCATCGAATTCAGTAATCACGTGACCACATTATTAGGATCAAACCAACATTTGATAGCTACACGGATTGATGTCAACTCTTGGTTTTAATGCCACCTTGATAAAATATAAATACTAATAATAATAATGATGCTTGGTGAAATTGTGTTTTCCCAAACTGCTTATTTATAGGTTTGGCCAAAATAGTTCATGTCTAAAAGCAAATTTCCGCTAGCATTGTAGATATTGTTAGACATTTAGATCAAGGATATATAAAAACTCAAATTGAAAAATTGTCCAGTACATTTGTATATAATACAATTGAATAAAATATAGATTGGATTGAAAATGTGTTTAATCTATTTTCATTGTACCATTTATCATTTATCCTTGTGTAACACATATATGAACATTAAGCCATTATCTTGAGTTTAAGTGAGGTGATGTTATGCTTGAAAGAGTGATTTATATTTTTTTCGGTAATTTATGTTTTGTCACTAGGTAGTTTTCATATTTGTAACATTATTTAAGTGATTCATCCGAAAATATAGTTTACATCAAAGTCGATATGTGTACTATACATCATTTTGGTAAGATTTAAACTAATGTGTCTAAGGCATCATCACACAATCTATATCCATTTTAGTTCACTTGGACAGGTGATGTACTGTTGTATTTAGGAGACAGGTAATAAAAATATTATTATTGTGATTTTCCACTAAAAATGATATAATATAGGATATGAAACCAGGATAGAATAAGACGATTTTGGAAGTAGACAACTAATTAATAGTCAAGAAATTATTATTCGGAGAAGTAGTGAACCTCAGTGATCTGTATTATGTGAATGATAGTACATTCAGTAATGTAAGAAAATCAAACAGAATAATGTGAATGTGAAGGGTGAGTGAAAATATACACATTCACCAAGTGCAATTCAAAATTTAAGGTTCATAAATTAGACTGATTAATTTATTGTTGATTGTATTTCAAATAATCCTGAAAAGGATAATAGTTTTAGAGGTTTTCAAACTTCATTAAGAAAACAGTAAAGGATTTACATTCAATTTATTCTTTGTATTCATTCATAAATAAGGATAATGAATTCGTTACGAACTTGCTAGAAAAACAATCGCCATAGCTGTTCAATATTAAAATAGATAAGGATCAACTGGAATAAAGTAGACCCTACCAAGTAACATCGAAAATTTATAGATCAGTTGATCAGTTATATGAATAATTTGCTGCTACATCACATGCTAATAATGTATGTATCAGATTTCTGATTAAATGTCAGTCGAAATAACAATGAAACACCAAAAGAAAGAAATGGGGTAAATCTACATATAATAAAATTTGCAAAAAACATATTTTTTTCAATATAACAACTCCACATGTAACCTTTCACAAGGACAACAGAAGATGTGACAGTCAGGAGAGTAGCTCACATGGCTTCAGATCACCATCTACCTGTTTGTTGCGAAGATGTAACTACAGCTAGAGAAGCAGTGAACAACTGGAAAAACAGCATTACAAAGATTCAGTACAGTCTTCCATTCAGATACCAACTAATTAAACCAACTCAAGAGAACTCTCAACAATACACTACAAGCCTTACAAGATCTACCGAACGAAGAAAAAGAAGAATAAACTACGATGGTGGAGTACTGGAAAGGAGTCAAAGAGAAACTAAATTCAACATATCAGGAGATTGTGGACCACAACAAGCATCACTAGAATGATTGCATCTCTATGCGAACCCTGAACAAGATTGGAGAAAGGAAGAACAAGAAAACAGTAATTGACAACAAAAGTCGAACATGAACAGAGAAAGTCAAGTCACAAGCTGAATTCACTGAAGGAAACAAAAAAGTGAAGAGTAGCAATAGTAGCTGAGAAACAGAAATTTGTAGAAGAAGTAGCAACGGCAGTGGGAAAAGCTGTGAGAGAAGGAAATACGGAATAACTATGTTACACCACGAAGAATCTAACAGAGAAATATAGTAAACAAGTGAGACCGGTCAAGGACAAAGAAGGCAAATCAATCACCGAGATTCAAGAACAGAGGAACAGATGGATAGAATACTTCGAGGAACTCTTAAATAGGCCAGTTGCACTGAATTCAATGGACATCGAAATAGAACACACAAACATTCCGATAGATGTCACTCCAACAAGGATGGAAGAAATCAGCATGACCATTTGTCAAATGAAGAGTATGAAAGCAGATGGACCTTACAATATTCAATCTGAAACACCTAGGCCAGACATAGAAGTAACTGCAAACATGCTTCATACTCTATTCAAGAAGTCTTGGGAGGATGAACAAGTGTCACTGACAGACTGGAACGAAGGACAAATCATCAAGATATCAAAGAAAGGAGATGTGAGAAAATGTGAGAACTATAGAGACATCACACTACTATCGGTACCCGGAAAAGTTTTCAACAGAGTGTTGTTGAACTGGATGAAAGATTCTATAGACATCCAACTTCGATATGAACAGACTGGATTTCGTAAGGATCGATCGTGGACATACCATATTGTAACATTATGGATCATTTTTGAACGATCATTTGAATGTAACTAGTCACTATACATCAACTTCCTTGACTACGAGAAGTCGTATGACAGTGTGGTTAGGTAAGCCTTATAGAAACGTCTTCGACACTATGGTGTAGCTGAGAAGATCGTCAATATCATTTGAAATAATTCAACGGACCACATTGCAAAGTGATGCACATATGACAGCTGACAGATGCATGATAAGTGAGGACCGGAGTCAGACAAGGCTGATTATTCTTTCCCTTTCTAATTCTTCTGGTGATTGACTGGCCCTCAACAAACACAAGAGAATAAGTAAAATCCTCAAATACAGCACGGAGAACATCACCTCAACCACATTTGATGGAGAAGCTCTGGAAGTGGTGGAAGCTCTCACGTAACTGAGAAGCATCATCGATGAACAAGGATGACCTGATACAAACCTAGATGCGAGAATTGGGAAAGAGAGGTAAATATTCCTACAATTGAAGAACATATGGAACTCAAAACAACTCTCAAACAATATCAAAGTCACAATCTTCAATACGAATGTCAATACAGTTAGTTCTATTGTGCGGAACTGAAATTTGAAGGACTACTACAAATATCATCAATAAGGTACAAGTATTTATAAACAATTGTCGACGTAAGATACTCAATGTCCGTTGACCGGATACCATCTGCAAAAGTCTACTGTGGGAAATAGAACAAACTAGTTTCCAGTTGAAGAGGAAATTAGGAAAAGACGATGGTGGTGGATAGAACACACATTGAGGAAACCGTCAAACTGCATCACGAGATAAGCACTAAACATGGAAGGCCAAAGTGCACACTGTATCGAGGATTGGAAGGAGACATGAAAATAATGAATAGCGACTGGAAACTACTGAGAAGTATTGTCCAGGTCAGATTTGGATAGCGAACGCTGATGAGTGACCCATGCCCCTCCATGAGGGGTAACAGGCGTAAGTAAGTAAGCTAATTATGCACTAGGAATGGTCAATTTCAGTATCTATGATATATCACGTCATATCATTTATACAATAGACAGTTTGGATTCATGTTTAAGTGGATAAAAATAATGCATGATTCGTGAATCCATAGGATATAATCCATAGGTTTATCTCAGTATGAGATATTGAGTAAATGACCATCTCTGAAGACAACAGTTCTTTATTTTGAAAATTAGTATATTCCGAAAGCCGACATATTTGAGGGAAATTTCTAGATTTTAAATCGGCACATCCATACTTGACCAAAGTGACAGTGGCCAAAAATATGATTACAAGAGCTCAAAAACTTGTCACTGAACCAAACCATATGAAAAAGGAAATAAATTTAATTACATCTATTCTAATGATGAACAATTATCCGAAGGATTTTATTAAAATAATAATTTAGAATGAAAGAAAAGATGTCATTAATAATACAAAAGGTTTAAAGAAAGAGGAATGGGTTAACACAGTGGAGATCCCATATCGGAAAGGTGTTTTAGAAGACATTAGAAGAATCTTAAATAATCAAAATATAAGAGTATTTTTTGAACAAACAATTCTCTAAGATCAAAATGAGTAAGAATTAAAGATCCAATCCACAAAGAAGAACAACAGAATTGTGTCTATGAAATCAGATGTAGTGACTGTAATGCAACGTATGTAGGTGAAACATACAGACAACTGAATGTGAGGGTGAAGGAACACAAACAATGCTTGAAACATATTCTTAAGTCCTCAGATGATGTAAGTAAACCGGAGAACAAGTCAGCGATAGCACTACACTCGATAGAATCGGGTCATAAAATTGATTTCGTTGGCACAAGAATCCTTCAAAAAGATTTCAATTCTTACAAAGAAAGACAAACAGCTGAAGCCCTATACATTTGGGCTAATCCAAACAATATTAATAGGAGGGATGGAATACAATTAGCAGTGCCATGGCAACTAATTATTAATAAGTAAAAACCTGAACTCCTACCGTTTTTATCTATCTCGTATTATCTAAATGACAGCAATTACATTCAGTCATGGTAAGCAGAGATGGATAGTGGCTAGCAGTGGAATCCGGGACGCGCGTTTCGTCCTATTTGGGACTCGTCAGCTGGATGTACCTGCATCTCAGATCTCTGCTTGCCATGCTTGTGAATTAAGGCTATATCAAGGCAATACGCACAGTATGCACATATGCCAATTAGAGACTGACCAGTTGCAGTCCTAACACATCGATGGGAAGATTCAAACAAACAATACTAAGTGAATTTAATTCCATTCAATGATTCTAATCAGTTGTCTTATCGGAATTTGTTAAACAATTAACTGGAACATTAAAAATGACACATACATTCAGTTTCAAATTACATTCTTCCTCTTCAAATTTCACTCTTTTATTTTTATTTTGTTTATTTATCTTCATTTTATACATGCTGTGACATATATGTTCATATCATATATTACAAATTTATTCGCTGAGATTTTACAAATATATTATTCCTATTTAATGTCTTACATCAACTCGGCGCTCAAATACTGTGAAACTATTCGCTCTAATTTAGACTAGTGTTCTTATATAGTTCTATATTTTGTTTAAACATATGTCATATGTGTAAAATATACATCCGTGAATGCTTAGTATGTGGACGTCTGAATGGAGAAGTGTTTGTAAATCTGAGATTCTCCAATATTTCAAAAGTAAGTCAGAATTTTAAACAGAGTTGGATGGCGAATCCTGGTGAGTGGCCTATGCTCCTCCACGACGAGTAACATGTGTAATCAAACTAAATAAGTTTTCACCTTAATAGGGTTTTTCCCTAAGACCACTATAAAGGTTCTTAAACTGTTTTTATATAATTTAACACTTACATCAGTGTAAACTGGAAAATTTGGTGTGATTACGAAGTCCATATTAGATGAACTAATATTATTTGCGTTGCCACTTATATTATACCAGCTTGGAAACGAATATGTTTCTGTCTCTGTTGTATTGCAATCCCCTTCTATGTAAGTAGTAAATTGTATATCCATCTATAAAACGTAAAAAAAAACACACTAAACTTGAAAAAAAAAATTACATAGTAACAGAAAAACGATCGACTGAAGTTGTGAATTAAATGTTTTTTGTATCATATCCATAATACAGTCACATTAACTATACCCATGGTCAAGAGAATTAGATTTTGGTCAAAACATGAGTTAAGAAAAATTCAGAAGCAAACATTATTGTAGTATTTAAGTATGTATGGGGTAACATATTGTCTTCTACTATCTGATGAACTCTTATGCCTAACCGGAAACTTTCGGGACTCTCTATTTTATTGGTTGACGGATGTATGGATATTAAAATGAGTTTGTTGAGAAAATGATTTTATTCTTTGTGTTATTTTCTTTTGTTACATAGCTATAAACCGAAAATAGAGAAAAGGAAAAACATGAACTGTGTATGTCTCTAGAGTGTTAATCATTTTTAGGAAAAGTTTTATAATGGTGTAAATTCAAAGTTTACCTTTTCGATGTTGGGGTGATCAAGAAGATTCCTCTAAAAAAGCCAATAGAGCCTCTAAAAACGCTACTTACTTACTTAATTACACCTGTTACCCCTCGTCAAGGAGCATAGGCCGCACAACAGCATTCTCCACTCAACCCTGTCCTGAGCAAGTCTTTCAAGTTCTTCCCAGTTAATACTCATTCTTTTTCATATATGCTTCTATTTCCCGCGTAATGTGTTCTTTGACCTTCCTCTTTTCCGCTTCCCTTCACGATTCCAAGTTAGGGATTGCCTCGTGATGCAGTTTGGTGATTTCCTTAATGTATCTCTTATCCACTTTCATCAACTTTTCTTAATTTCCTCGTCAGCTGGAAGCTTATTTGTCCTCTCCCATAAAACGCTGTTGTTAATAATATCCGGTCAGTGAATATTGAGTATTTTGCGTAGACAACTGTTTATAAATATTTGTACCTTCTTGATGATGGATTTAGTAGTTCTCCACGTTTCAGCTTCATACACTAGGACTGTCTTGATGTTCGTGTTGAAGATCCTCACTTTGAAGTTAATTGACAGTTGTTTTGAGTTCCATATGTTCTTCAATTGTAGAAATACGGTCGTTGCTTTGCCAATACTCGCACTTACATCTGCATCAGATCCTTCTTGTTTATCAATGATGCTTCCCAGGTACGCAAATTTTTCCACCTCTTCCAAAGTTTCACCATCAAGTGTGGTCGGGTTGTTGTTCTCTGTGTTGTATTTGAGAATCTCGCTTTTTCCTTTGTGTATGTTGAGGCCTACTGATGCGGAGGCTGCTGCTACATTTGTTGTCTTCATCTGTATTAGTTCGTGTGTATGAGATAGGAGGGCTAGGTCGTCTGCGAAGTCCAAGTTGTCTAATTGATTCTGAGATGTCCATTGTATTCCGTGCTTCATTATAAAAAGAACAGTGATGGAGCAAAACTTTTAAATCAAAACTGTGAGGGCAATATTTAGAAAACTTGAACATGGTTCCTGTGACTGTTCGAAAAAATCTCATTTATTCTTCTACTTAGTTCATAACAAAATATATTGGTAAAGCTAATTGTCATTTGGCTATTATTATGAAATTTCTAGACCATTGTTTTACGTCTAGAACTATTTATTTCATTTTGTGGCATCAATCTAATTTATAAAATAACAAGAGCTAACTAAGAACAAACAATGACGAATGTTTTGAGTTTTTAGTGATTTTGAAATCTTTTTTTGTTGAACAATAAATGAAAGACTGTCGACTAGAAACGAGTCAGGAAGTGAGTTTACTAATCTTTTACTTATTGTTATAATTATATCTTACTAACCAATAGAAATTTGTATTGAATTACCCGAGAATTCTAGGGCACAATGACGAGCTTCATTACATTGCTCACGTGATAACAAATGAAATAAAAACAATTTCAATATATATATGAGGATTGTGAGACAGTCTACATTTACGTTTTGAAGACCTGAAGTTCAGGTAATGAAGTACGTTGTCCGACTTGGCATAAAGTTCAGACAATGAGACTGTCAATTTTGTATCCACGAGTGGTTTCACAAAACAGAGTTTACATTTTGTAATTTTGAAATGTTAGCAGCGTTTACATTCACGGATGTAAGTTAAATGTCTTACCAAGAATAAAATAAAAAATTAAAATTTTTTAGTGGTGTATATTTGGATTTCATATGCTACAAATGTAAAATCAGTTACAGCCTACTGGAATCATTCTGTGTGAAGCTTAATATTTTTTCTTTAGCACCTTATAAGTAAACTGAATTAACGTTTAAAGTATGATATAATTATAAGCTTGATTTCAAGGTCTAAGGACTAACAGCTGCAGAGTGATCACTTTCAACCTCGATATATTTTATTCTCACGTTTACGATGTTGTCTAGGCATTTCAGAGTATACAAATATCACTTCCTCTGTTTAAACATGAAGAAATAGGCTATGTTCATTAAAATCAGGCTTTTTCTGACGTTTCCTGCAGACCATAAGGACCCGCAAGCAATAAATGCTATTTATCTGTGAGGAACACCTTACTTCCAGGATACCATAATCAAGTCGCAAGTATGGTTTTCTTCACAGATGAAATGTTGGATCTTTTAGCCTGACAAGAACATATGTGCTGGTGTGTTATGAATGAGTAATACCATTAAATTGAAAATATTTATTACATTCATTCTGCCATTTTTGGTAATCCCGATACAGCTCATCTGGTTAAATTTTTGGTAAAATTACTTACGACTGAAATACTTAGTTATATTTTTGAAATACGTCCATTATTATTCAGGTAACTAAGCGTAATCCTATTGTTTGAAAGCACATAATATTAGCGGTTAGACAGAGAAACTTTATCAAACCAAATAGTAATTGTGCAACTGACTTACGAAACGACTACCATCCTGTGTAAGACATATTGGGCCGAAGTCCACTCTCGCCAAACTATGAAAATAAACAAAAATCTTTCGTTGTCTAGTTTGATTGCATAAAAGAGAGGAATAATGCAACATCTTGTGAATTAAGTTAAGTTATAGAGACATAATGGTAGATTTGAATCAAATATATACCTCGAGTTCATCACAAATGAAATGAGCAAAATGAAATTAGAGAAATGAGAGAATAAAGGTATCGTTTCTTAGCTAAACATTCACCATTTTTAAGGTACTGATGTGAACAAAGACTGGAAACTCCTCAATACAAACTCAATAGTAACTTATCGGATGTTTTATGAAACTGTTCATTTCTACATAGATAGCGAAAACACTTATAAATTCTCACTTCATTAATTATTTTGAAAGTATATCACTGTTGTGGTAGCATTACTTACGTCCATTCACTTAAATATCTATTTTCTTGAAACTTTATGGGAATGTCACAAATGTACTATGATCAGTTATTTAATATGTCCTTTTCAGTTCTTTCAAAATGTAGTTACTCCACAATGACTTGTTCAGGTAAGATTGCTTAATAATCCCATTTATAGTTGTGGATTTATTTTACATAATTATAAAAATGAAATATCACTGGCTACTATTTATTTAATTGAGAACTAGCAAAACAATTTGCTCACACAGATAAATATAATTGTCAAATCCAAAGTTTATTTAGTAAAAGAATAGTATTAAGCAACATAATTTTACATATGTAATATGGACAACTAATGAGTAAATCATACCATTCGCAATTAGTCAGCTGAAGCTTTCAACTGGAGCAACTGTCTACCAAGACAAATGCAGTCTTTTATTGCTCTAGATCCTTGTTCTTATAGTTTCACATGCTTCAGTGGTCATAGAGAAGGTAACTAACCATAGACGTTGGTTATACAAAGATAATCAGTAGTTTATCTTTTAATAGTAATTAAAAATTGAGATGTTTTAGTGACTGACTTGATGGGGGGGGAAATAGTCAACTAAGACGACATTTCATTACTAGGTTCTTATTGCCAGTAGGGTTTTACTTGACCTATTGACTGACAACATAATCAAGAAAACATGCTCCCAAATCTGGTTGTTTTGTTTTTCAGTTTCAATCACAACGAGCATTTTAAAGAGATAGAAGCTCGACAATCTAAAACGATTTAAACCAGTCATTACATCCAAGTGAAGACATTGGAAGTATCGTGATAATGATTACTACGTGGTTTCCAGATTATTTTTGTCTAAGCTAATGTCTGAACTAAAGAAAAGATTGTATATATGCTATCTCTAAGTGAGGAAATACCAAGTGGAAAAGTTCAAGGCCTTGATAAAACTTGATAAATGATAATATGTTCATTTTCTTCACTTTGTATTCGACCTTACACATACATCCAGAAGTCATGCAAAGTCAACCACTTTTCTCTTTAAAAACAATAAATATTCCGAACGAATTTTATTTACTACAGAATCCTTTTCAATGGTCTATTTACTCTCACTTGTTGAATTATTTTTCTTATGATCATGCAGTCACCAACTGTAAACATAGGGGTTGTCATTGGTGATTTCACATTCCTTACTCCATATGTCCAAGTTCAGGACAACCAGTCTGAACTATGATATATAATGTGGCTATTACATCTTATTCTCCTACTGTTCCAATTCAAAATTCCATATCAACTTCCATAATTAATGTACTTCAATATCCTACTTGTTCGTAGATCATCTAAAATGAGTTTAGTTTATGAGTAGACTTAAAGTAAAATAAACTCAGTTTATTCCACGAATTTTGTTAATTTTTTCTTCGTACAAAAATATACTTATTTATATCCCTAAGTTCGCAAATAAAGAGAACAACTAGTACTATTTCGATGTTTTGTGACTTTCTAAAATTTTCACCAATATTTTAGTTGTGAAGAATTTGTGCGTTTTGAAAAATTCAATAAGGTATAATAGTTAGTCAGGCTTACGACTAAAATGCAGAAACCACTGCACATGTAGTTTTACATGAAGTGAACCTCAGAAAGGTTTTGAACTTTCGTGAGATTAAAATACGCTCAAGTATCAAAGTAAATAACATTATATGTCTATGTACAATAAATCAACT